AAAATACAATTCCCTCACTCTTACACAACAACTTCCTTCAGTAACCTTCTACCATGAGTGGCTCTTGGGCCTTGTATTAGGTGTACAAAATTATTAAAGGAAGTTTATTATTATTATATTACTGTAACTGTTATGCGTATAGCAGTCTTCAATTGCACTTCGATGTTTGTAGATTTCAGCCTTCAGTTGTAGTTCGAAGTTTATAGATTTCAGCCTTTAGTTGTAGTTCGATGTTTATAGATTTCAGCCTTCAGTTGTAGTTCGATGTTTGTAGATTTCAGCCTTCAGTTGTAGTTCGATGTTTATAGATTTCAGCCTTCAGTTGTAGTTCGATGTTTGTAGATTTCAGCCTTCAGTTGTAGTTCGATGTTTATAGATTTCAGCCTTCAGTTGTAGTTCGATGTTTGTAGATTTCAGCCTTCAGCTGTAGTTCGATGTTTATAGATTTCAGCCTTCAGTTGCGATTCGATGTTTGTAGATGTCAGCCTTCAATTAGAGTTCGAAGTTTGTAGATTTCAGTCTTCAGTTGTAGTTCGACATTTGTAGATTTCAGCCTTCAATTGTACTTCGATGTTTGCAGATTTCAGCCTTCAGTTGTAGATCGATGTTTATAGATTTCAGCCTTCAGTTGCAATTCGATGTTTGTAGATGTCAGCCTTCAATTACAGTTCGAAGTTTCTAGATTTCAGTCTTCAGTTGTAGTTCGACATTTGTAGATTTCAGCCTTCAATTGTATTTCGATGTTTGTAGATTTCAGCCTTCAGGTGTAGATCGATGTTTATAGATTTCAGTCTTCAGTTATAATTCGATGTTTGTAGATTTCAGCCTTCAACTTTAGTTCGATGTTTGTAGATTTCAGCCTTCAGTTGCGATTCGATGTTTGTAGATTTCAGCCTTCAGTTGCAGTTCGATGTTTGTAGATTTCATCCTTCAATTGTAGTTTGACGTTTGTAGATTTCAGCCTTCAATGTTAGTTCGATGTTTGTAGATTTCAGCTTTCAATTTTAGTTCGAAGTTTGTAGATATCAGCCTTCAATTGTAGTTCGATGTTTGTAGATTTCAGCTTTCAATTGTAGTTCGAAGTTTGCAGATTTCATCTTTCTGGTAGCCCCAGAAAAAAAAAAACGATCACATCGGAAGAGGTGAGGTGAGCGTGCATACTATCTAATGTCACCGCCTAAGTAGATCAAGTGCCCTGGAAAGTGCTCCCTGTGCTCCCAGTGCGCAGCAATGCAAACCATAATGGTTTCTGAAAAAGAATGATAGAAATATAATATATATGTTGAGAATCTTTTATCCGAAATTCTTGATTTCGGAAGTGTTTCAGTATTCAGATTTTTTTCGGATTTTGGAATACAGGCTATTTAATTTGTATATGGTAATAAAATGGGGGCAACTTAGAATTGGAACCCAAGCATAAACACAATACCCTTTTACATATCAAAACACAGCTTATATATTTACCCTGAAGATAGTTTTATATAAATAATACAGTAGAATCCCTCATATCCGGAATCTTTCATATCAGGAACCCCTAATATCCGGAAACCCTAATATCCGAAATCCCTCATATCCGGAGTGCCTCATATTCGGAATCCTGCATATCCGGACATGTTTTTGATGTGTATATTTGAACTATTTGGGTGATATGTAACTGATTTGAAATTTCTGTTTTTCAGGAAATTTGTTTTGGATAATTGCTTATGCTTATTTCACCCTAATGGCTTTTATTGGCGCAAAAGATGATGGGAATAAGAGGAAAAGAACAACTTTAGAGTTATCGCAAAAAGTGGAAATTTTAAACAGGCTAGACGCTGGTGAAAGTTCATTGTAACTAATGGATGAGTTCAACATAGGAAGGTCAAGATTGTATGATATAAAATCTTCTAAAGAAATTATTCTCCAGCGTTCACAATGAACAAGGAAATAAAAAAAAAACATGATTGTGATGAAACATGGACTGAAATTGAAAAAGCTATTGTAGAGGTTGTCATTTTTATGGAAAGAAAGTCAGCATCCAGCTATGAGTTTAAAAGTGTTTTTGTTTAAAGAATTTCAAGAACAAAAGCAAAACGAAATGCAGGAAAAGTTGCGAATGACATTAGAAGAGAAAGAATCATCATGCAACAGCGATTAAAAATTCTTCGTTACATTATTTATCTCGCAAAATGAATTTTAATGAATTTTCATTAACATGTCATAATTTATTTCTTTTTCCATAAAATCAATTCCATTATATTTCACTCACCTTTAGCTTATTTTGTTTACTATAAAACATTGAAAATAAATGTTAAACCTGATTTCAATTCTTTTATTTTAATCTAAATATAGCCCCTCATATCCGGAGTTTGTAACCAATTCCTCATATCCGGAAGGCCTTCTCAGTCCGGTTGTCAGGGATTCTATTGTATATACCCTGAAAATAGATGTTTATAAAATTTAATATATTTTGTGTATATACAGATACAGGTGATGACGCTAGACATGTACTGTTCACACG